GAAATGCTGTGATTATCGTTGTCGGAGGGGCAGCCGAGTCTCTGCAGTGCACACCCGGCTTGAATTCTGTCACCCTGAAGAATCGTAAAGGCTTCGTTAGGCTAGCGCTGCGGAAAGGGTGAGTCGGCTGCGCATTTTCAGACACGAGCACGTGTGGTTTTCACTGACCCGCACAATATGTTGTTGAATGGGAAAATGTCATTCCCTGAGCTGCGGCACCTCACGGGAATAACAAAATCCTAGATTATTATACCCAGAAAGGCCACATGCTTGCAAAGAGAGAGCTGCTAAATCATTCTATGAATGTGCAGTGTTGTCCCTGCTCAGCTCCTCGTGACATATAGTTCACTTTCAGGGGCTGGGCAGTTTGAGCTCCCCCCCTTGGCTATGCGTTAATGAGACAGACTGCAGCGTGAAGGGCCCTCGGTTTGTCTCACCAGCCCAAACAAGCCCATTCCTTCACAAATACAGCCGAGGATTATCATATCAGTGGGTGCACCCTATCCAAAGAAGCTTAGAACGCGCTGGAAAAGACACGCAGTTATGCAGACCTTTATTCGTTACAATTAGGCTAGCACAGCAGCTGATGTAAGCCTCAAATGTGAATTTGGGTCACTTTGGATTGATTTTGTGGAACTTCTAAGGCTTTGTTTCAGTGCTTATGAAATAGAGACGATGTTGCAACCAGCTGAATGATGTGTTGTGTCGTCACAAAACAAGTGTCCGCTTTAACAAATATATTTATTGTTTATTTTTGGTCAAAGGGATTGATGCTCTGATTGTTTCTTCTAAAATACTGGATGGAAAACCAGATTTAATCTTTCACAAACAGCTGGAAAAAATCTCTCTAAAAAGGACTGATTCTGTGGTCTAAAAACGGCCCCTGCAAACCTTCAGACTCTAGCTTAGTTACAGATCAGGGTGGATTTAAGAAATTTCCCGATCACATAACACCTTCCACAGTTGTTATACAAAAACGTGGCTGCTCCTCCCCACAGGGACATTGAATGCTTTTCACAAACTGTCCGTGTTCCTTGCACCGATTCCTGATGATCTGCACGTTGCACCATAAATCCAAACCTGTTGGCTATTTTTGAATATTTGGTAAACTGAAGCTGGCCGTTCAGGCAAGTAGAGACATGTAAGGAACGTGGTGGTTATCACACGTGTGCAACGCTTCAAACTCTGTTCTTATTACTGCTTTTAAAACCAGGAGATTCACAGATAGGATTATAATATAACCATAAAACCACATTTCTGGTCATGTGAACAACAACTGCAAAGCTTCAGCAAGAGGACAGTGAACAAATATTTGTTTATTAACTGACATTTTTCTCAAATAAGTCTCAATGACCTTTTATGTGTTCTAGATGTTTCGCATAGATGTGTTGTTCTTTTTCACGGTCGGGCAGGTGTGTTGAGTCACTTGCTTTGTTCCCTCAGGGCTGATCTGGTTCCAGTCTATTCCTTCGGCGAGAACGACGCCTACAAGCAGGTGATCTTCGACGAGGGGACCGTCTGGAGGTCTCTGCAAAAGAAGTTACAGAAGATGTTGGGCTTTGCCCCGTGCCTTTTCTTTGGAAGCTCCTGGGGCATTGTGCCTTTTTCCAAGCCCATCACTACCATAGGCAAGTTTGTCTCGTGTTTGCTTTGACTGTACGGTACAGATTAGTTTTCTCTGACCTCGACATGGCTGTGTTACTAAAGTTTTTTGTAGGACAGTGACCAACCAAACAGTTCATAGGACACAGTCAATATTTGCTCAACTGTTTGTTTTAACTGTTTGTCTCCTGTGTTCTTTTTCTTTTTTAATAGTTGGGGAGCCAATCACTGTGCCAAAAATTGAGGATGCATCAGAGGAAGCGGTGGATCTCTACCATGCAATGTACATCAAGTCCCTCCAGTGCCTTTTTGACAAGTACAAGACCCGCTTTGGTCTGAAAGAGAGTGACATCCTGCACATCCACTAGGAAGATGACGGGTCGCTGCTAATGGCCCGAACTGTGCATCTCCAAACCCCTCGCCTCGTCTTCGTTTCGTCACCTTCGTCATCGCACCTGGGTGCCTAGATAATCTCTGGACTGCAGATGACACATTTTGCATGTTTACTGAAGAAACCGTTGCTCACTGCGCCATCTCACACACACGCATAGTGCTTTCTCAGGCAATGGCAGGTTTAATGAATGGTGGCCTTTCCCAGCTGCTCTTGTCTGGTTGCCCACAGTGCCTCATCAGTGCCTTTTTTCCCTCACAGTTTTCTTTTAAAACTTGGGCGTCACGTTTTAACTGCTTCTTTCAGGCAGTGGTCGCTAAGCTCCACTAGATGGAGCCAGAAGGTAACTTGCAGGACTTCTTCCTGAGCTCCTTTACAACTCTACACGCTGAACGCACAAACAATGCAAATGAAAGGTACCACTTTATCACTGGGTAGTGCCCAAAGATTAATCGAGCCAAAGACATATGATGTCCACAGACATGTGGTGATTCCTGCTGGTTAAAGGCCGAAAGTGAAGGAATTCTACCAGGTATGGTGAATGCACAAACGCATAAGACTGTAGAAAAGCCTTACAGTGTTAATTGAATTCTGTAGCAAGGAAATGCCTATTTTAGTGCATTTGTCTCAACAAATATTTCTGGTGCACTTTTGATGTTTTACATCACCCTCTGAGGTTTTAGTCTCAAAGATTTTTTTTCCCCCCCCCCAAGACAGGCACTGCTCTGCTTGGCTTACTTCTTTTTCTTTTTTATGTTCATACTGGTGACAGGGTTTCTATCTGGGTGGATACATTTAATGTATGCAGTGTAAACTACGTGATTTCTTGTAACTTAAGTGTCTTGGAAGGTTTTGAGCTGTAGTTGAAAAGGATAAAATGGTTTTGTGGGTGAAAATCCTGATGTTTGCGGGTGAAGATGGATGGATGGAATCCTGATGTTTGATGATTCCAGTTTACAGTGAGTTTTATAAAAAATCTTTCAGGGGAATCATTTAAAATAAGCAAGCGTGCGTCATGTCGATGGGAATAAAGTGTAACAGAATTGGCTGAATTTACAGATGCAATTTTCACTGGTTTGAGCATTGTGACGACTACTATGGAGCAGTGTGATACCTGTGCAATGGATTTGCAAGCAATAAGCAGCGAGACTTGTCTGTGTGATGAGTTGCATAATCTTTCTGCTGATGTTTAAATTAAACTTTTGTAAGTTTTCAGAAAAAAAGTGTGGTGTGTCTTTGAAGTCTTTCCCACATTTATGTCAATGTTTTACTAAATCTGAGTCTTATGTATGTGCTGTGTGGGGAGCACGCCCACCAAATATATGCTTTGTTTTGAACAGTATTTGGCTGGAGAGTATTTAATATTATCCACAATTCTCTTATCAGCAAAAACTTTCAAAGTCCAGCTGGGCCATACAGTATACCTCTGAAACCACAATTTACCTCTATGGGAGGAAAACCTCCCTTTCATCCCTCCCTGCAGGTGATATAGATGTGATCCTCAAGCTCGCGTTCTCAGAGACCTGGGAGTTCAGGGCTCTGTGCCGTACTTTGTCTGTTCCTCTGGACCGACACCTCTGATGTTATACCTGGAGTTTTCTGGAGCCACTCTTCCAATTTCAGGGTTACAGCTCCTACTGCTGCTAATTACCACTGGGACCATTTTAAACTTTAGCTTCCACATCTGCTGGTGCTATGCAAATAAAACTGAACTGAATATTTTTGAGGATTATTCCACCCCATTTAAAAACAATCAACATGAAAAGTGACCGTGTAAATGTTAATTGTATGTTTTCCATTTTATGCACTAACCATATACACTCTTGTGTATGTCATGTTTTGAAATTGTTAAACCTACAACGGAATGATAAACATTGTATCTACTGCTTATGGAGTCGTTGCCTTGTTTTCAGAAGTGAAACTGAAAATGTTTGAGGAATAAAGCCTGTGCGCAAAGTTCATTTAAGGTTTTCCATTATTCAGTTTCTGTTAGTTATACTTGTTCTTATGGCCTTTTTTTTTTTAGTGCGGTCATTAGTTAATTTGACTTTAGTCTCAGAAAGCCTTAATAAAGACAGGAAGTACTCTGGCTCCTTTTATCAGCTGGAAAAAAAATATGACAGGAGCAACACATCTCAGTGCAAAACGCAATTATTTCACTTTATATGCCTTGTATTCCTATTTATCTGAATTACAACCTTGTTAATTATTATTATTATTATTATTTGCTACTGGTTCTCTTTTATATGACTTTATTAAAACATCTTCAACATTATTAAAAAACCAATAAGAACACATCAAGTGTATGACTAGTCCATCGAGAACGTCCATTTTTATTTTCCATAAGTTCTTTTACATTTTAACGTTTTTTGTCAAGGTGACAACGTGGATAGATAGGAGCTACTTTTGGTCGTTATCTGACTGCAGCCTTCAGTCTCCTGGCCCTGTAGAAGCGCAACTATTTAATGTGGCTGATACAGCCCCCTAGTGGTTGCTTAATGTTCTGCAGTCAGTGTGAATGAAGCTGAAATAACTGACTGTGCTGCTCACATGTAGGTGGTGGATTTACAAGTCATCGTACTTAAAGATGAATTTCAACTTTACACTACTGAGTTACACGCAAAACACAAGACCAGAATCTAAATTGGCATGCAACGTTAAGAGAGGCCTAACAAATATAACATCGACTAATTTGCTAATATGTTAAATATGTGTGTGTTTAAGTTTTACATTGCCTAAGCTACCCGCGTATTCTGCAGTTAGTTCCTGTCTCTATTTGTGTATTCGTATTATACTGTCTGTGATTTGAAAGTTAGCGAAAAAAGTTCATATCAGTTTGCATATACATTTTAAATGCTTTGGTCGCTGGCTGTCTTTGTACCAGTAGAGATTATGAGATCAGTGCTACCGTTTAAACTGTCACCTGCATGTCACGCTGTACCATACAACTTCCTCATATTTTGCAGCTTTGACAGAATTCAACGGATGCTCGTCCCCTCCAGGGAGACAAACAGATGATACCGCCAATAGAAACGCGAATTTTCACGACCAGGCACCGCCTTTACGCGACGGATATTGGTTTGAGCCAATCAGCAACTGAAGTTCCGCGCCTCCTCTCCGTAGACGGATTTCCGAACGTAGCGAAATAGCCGAGAGTTTGTTTACGTCCTGTTGGTTAGCTGACAGCTGTTGTAGCGCTTTCCTCACAGAAACACTCGTGTCTGCATGTCTTTGTTAGTTTTCCGGAACTTCGTCAACTTTTAGCCAAGTGTCGTGAATGTCTGAGATGGGATGCTTTATTGAATGAGGGGCTGCTGCTAGATGCCGACAGGAGGATGAACTCCATCACCGGTCGGGTTCTTGCTATCCCCGCCGCCTCTGTCACCAACTCTGGAGCTTCAGCCTCTCGAGCCCTACATGTGGAGCTCACATCCCAGCAGGTAAATGCAAATTCCATGAGCTTTCGTTGTCATCACACTCATTCAGGTGAACTCGGGAAAACTTGGACCGGGCTCCCATATTGTGTTATGTACTAGTTTGTAACTGCTGCCCGGAGGTCCACAGCAGGCCTGGCAGGCTAGCTAGCTAGCAGTTGCTAGCTTGCAGTTAGCTAGCCCGTTGGAAATAAATGGAAGTGTGTCTGACTCGCCAGACACGCCGAAACCAGTTAGGTCGCAGTTTGGCTTTTGGAGCCTAGCCTTTTCATGGTACTGCCATATCGCATTATTTTTCTACATATTTATGTACAAAGCTAGTAATGCTTCTGCTAATGGTAACTTAACTTGGCGTCATGTCAGCACGCAGGTGACAGCTAAGTAAAATCAGCATACAGCGTGTCATTATTTTGACACTAAACGCTCTCGTACGGCTGCTTTAATGTGATTTGAAGCATTTCAAGACTGAATGCGTTATTGGTCCGTTCAACCCCGGGGATTAAGTGGAAGACTTTTAAATTCCGTGCTTTCATTCATTTGACATGTAGGCTTCTCTCGTTGTGATTACGTACCTTAAACCGGAACTAAGTCTCCTACCGACAAATCTCCGTCAGTGTTTACTGGCTGGGTATTATTTGTAGTAGAAAACATGTTGTTTTCAAATATCTTTATTAGGGTTGAGATAAATGACACTTCCTCGCTTCAGTGAGCCAGAGGTCTGTGTGCTGCAGGAACCTCTTGGACTTGTTTCAACTGTTATCCTGCTTCAGACCACTAAACTGAACATTAGGAACCAAAATATGGAGTTAACCTACAGCATAAAATGAATCCTCAAACTTAAATCTTCTACTACTACTATTACTTAATGGTAGTTAAACCTCGCAAATGTGTATTGACATTTGCAAATTCTTGGGATTCATAACGTGGGTGTCACTGATGCACCATTAGATTTTCTTTTCTCAGTGAAATGACAGACAGTATAATGTATTTACACCACTAAGTGTAACTCTTTTCTCCCCCAGATAGGTGCTGGATCGATTAGATGGACACTTTGATAATGCAATTTGGAATGATTCAAACTATGTCCTCATTTTAGTACTATCGACATATTCCAATCTTATCCTGTATACTGGGTGTTTTTGTTTTTACTTTGGGAAACCACAAGTCTCTGATATGCAGTTTTTTGAGGGTGGTGTGTAAGTAAAATCTTTTACTTAAACTGCAGCTAAATACACACATTACTTGCTCTTTAAAGAATCAGTATACCAATTTGTTGTTTACGCTTATCTGTGAACTCTGGCCATGCAAATAGTTGGGTTTTTCTATCTCTTAATCGTGTGCAGTTACTGCATTACAGTGGAAACCAACTGGCTTTGTGTTTGGGCCATAAATTGCTAAAAAGTATCAGAGATTTCATTTAAAACACTTTTCCTTTGTATTTGTTTAATTAACATGGGTCCTCTTGTTTATCTGTGATCTCATTAAAAAACCTGATGATGACCTCTTAATGCAGGCTATATGCACATTCATTTTATCCACATGAGACCTAGATGGATAAATACCTTTGTCATGATGAGAAAATGCAGAAACCACGTGGCATTTCCATACACCAACAAAGAACAAACACATCAGCATAAAAGCATACAATACATCAAGACCCTTTCATTGGACCTTACAGGATGATTTGTCCAAACTAGCTGGGAAACGTATGTGTTTCCCATGTTTAAAAATTGAACTGGTAAATGGACTGGTACTTGTATAGTGCCTTTCCACTCACTTTGAGCACTCAAAGCACTTTCTGCTACAAGCCTCATTCACCCAATCAAATGCATCCAAACCCTGTTTTTATCTATACCTAAACACTTTATGCACTCTTAACATTCACACACACCCTGATGGATGCATTGGGAACAACTTGGGGTTCAGTATATTTCAAAATATGAACTGCGGATTGATCCAACAACCTTGTTATTGGTACCCTCTACATCTGTTGCTACAAATGCTCTATTAAGTGCCGTGAGGAATAAATTACAGTTTGGCCCTTGTTTTGTAAGCACAGGGGGTAATAGCGCCACCCAGATGGTTTCACTTTAAAAGAAGAGGCAAATGGATGCCTCTCGTCACCCACAACAGTATTTGCCTAACATCTAACACCATAACTATAAATGCGTTCCTAACTCTGTAATGCAATTCACTTCATGCTGTTACTGTCTTTCTTACAGATTTTTAGTGTTCCTCAGAGGGATTTCCAACCCAACAAAAGATTAAGAAAGTCAGAACACTTTCAGTAAAAGCACAGTAGAACATGTGGAGCATTTTAGAGCCCGCTTTGAAAGATACAAGTTTCCTTGAAAAGTTCTTTACATGTGGTCAAGAATAACCCCAAGGTACTGATATTCAGTCACAGACTGGATCAGCTGTTTGGTGATAGTGTGCTGGGATGATTGTTGCCCCCTGAAATCTTTGCTGCGTTGAGAACAAGGCCTGACCTCACAGCATTTAATGAAATGGTCCGATATCTGGTCCCTGCTGTTCCTTTCCATCATGTAGGAGATTCACTGAAGTGGTAGTAGTGTTTGTGCAGGAATTGGTGTACCGAATAAACAACACAAGAGAGAAAACACAGTCCTGAGGGGAGCCTGTGGAAGTTGTCAGTTTGTCTGAAAGTAAAGTTCCTACTCTGATTTAACTACCAGGGAAATCCTTGATCTCGAAAGCTAAACAAGACGGAAGTGAAAATTCTGTTTCCCTTTTATCTGTTAAAATACTCAGTAAAACTGTTAAAAGTAGAGGTGGGAATCACCAGACACCCCACAATACAATATCATCACAATACTTGACTCACAATACGATATATTGGGATTATTACTTTTTTTAAACATGTTGTGATATGCTCTGTCAAGCTAAGTGTGTCCAGTGTTGCATGGTTTTCTTGGTTGCACTGATTTCATGTATGTTTGCTCAGCTAACCTTCCTGAAGGATGATGGTGCATGAGATTAACCCTCTTGTTTGTAGTATTCCCAGAGTATTTTATTTAAATAATACTGAGATTTGGCATCTCTATATCAATAGAATACCTCCATGCTATTTATCACAATCCGGTTTTTAAGTGATGATGTGATGAATCCTGCTTCTGGGTCCAAACTACTCTGTGTTTAATAAGTCTGTTGTGTTTTAAACATGTTTTAATGCTTTGTATCTTGTTCTATTTAATCTGAACAAGCCCCTAAAACAGTCAGTGATCACTGTTGGCCTCTCTCGGTTTTTATTTCCACTGTTACTTTTAAAGCTCAGTTTTTAAACCCTTACGATGTAACTCCAGCCCATGCAGCAGTATATTAATGACTAACCTGGTATTGTGGATGGATTATCTCAGTTGTTCTCCTGACTGAAGTTTAGCCCATTTATAAGATCTGGACTTGGAAACGGCTAATGACGTCAGACTTAAAGACCAATTTTCATCAATTAAAGATCAATTTTTTAACCCAACTCGTAGTTAAAAGGCGGGGAAATGGCCACAAATACAAGTAGCGTGTGCAATACGTAAAATAGTTCAATAAATCGCCCTCATACGGGGTTGGTAGGCAAATTGCAGCGGTCTCTTTGATGCCAAGTTTATGATCCCATGTACAAGACCAGTGATGCAAGGTCAGGTCTAAAGTCTTTGGGACCTGAAGGTCTAGGAGATTTAGGAACAGGAACAATTATGGATACTTTCCAAATTTAAATATTTAGTATCACAAGACTGAGATGATCTAAAAATCTTCAGATTCGACCATGCAGGTCAAGCGAAGCCTATCCCCTATCCTTATGTGGGGCATTGGTTGTTAGAGTAATGCATCTCTGGGCTTTCTTGATGACAAAGTGCCTTCTGTCTTTTAACTGTACTTGTACTTGTCTGCCATAATCAGTCTTTTAATGTCTTTAAAGGTCCCTTCCGGCTGTATCATTGTGGCTCCTGAAAGCATTTTTGTCTTATAAGGTCTTTGAACTTGTTTAACACCCAAGGGTTGTCATTCGCATCATTTAATCCTTTTGGTTGGGACCACAGAGTCCACACAGAAATGAATATAATCAGTCACATGTGTAGTGTGATCATTAATGTCAGCACTCTCAAAGACCTCCCATACAGTGCAGTCAAAGCAGCCCGGCCACACATTGTCATGTCAGTGTAGGGTCTTTCTTGTGTCTCAGTAGCCTCTCATAGACAGGATAAACCACACTACGATCAGACGCCCCTAGAAGCGGAATCAGTGTCGGCATCTTTGACAGTTCCATAGCACCAGAATCTTCTATTTCCTGGTGGGACAGTCGACCTATTGGTGGCATGAGTGAAGCTTACTTTATTGGTACGCTAATGCGAAATTGTAATGGGACGACATTTAAATTCTTAAATGTGCACCAATCTTTCCAGTTTAGAAGGGAGTTTGAAACTCTGTGACCTTACTGGTTTACTTGTTTACTGAGTAAACACTGACTCACTTTACAGGTTATAATCAGTGCTAATCTCAGGCTAGATAATACATGTTTTAACTGAGCCGTTTTGAATACTTTGAGTACTCCACAAACTGTGTGTGTGTGTGTGTATATGTGTATATATACTATAATTGTGAAAAGCAAACAACAAGCATGCACTTTGACCTGATGCACTGTTTTCGGGGTTGACTACTGTGGACTAAGTGAAAACTGTCGCTTTATCTCTGGGCCATAACCTGAGATTCAGCTCTCATCAGCAGCTATGATCCATGACATAAATTCAGGGGAGTTTGAGGTCCATGAATCCACCTTACATGCATTTGCATCCCACTCGGTACACATGGGCAAAACTGGTACTTGGGAGTTTAAATTAGCAGCAGTCCAGAAACTGGTCCAGTAGTGCATGACATGAAAACTTTGAAGGGAAAATTGAATTTAGTTAAGTCATTTTAGATTTATATGGCACGTAGATTCTAGGAACTTTTCGGTCACACTTTTTTATGTGTGTGACCAAAAGGTCCCTTGCATGTAGTTAATAAGAGGAGATAATCCACTTCAGATGACTGGAAATACTGAGTTTGGTTTATGTGTGGGAGTTGTCTCAGTATGCAGTACACATGATACCAATTTGCTTGCTGTGAAATAACTTGACACTTATTTGCACTACCCTCTCATGCATAAATGTCACATTACATAAACTTCTTGGGCAATCAGAAGAGCTTTTAGGACCATTTGTCCTGTCCCACTTATTCGAACATTTGCATTCTCACCTGTACATGTCTGGGTTTAGTTTTCAGTGCTGTAGTACATATATATGAAAAAAGCTTACGTTTATTTTTAAATGCATGAGAGTGGGGATTTGTTGGAAGCCTCTTGCATAAAGTTGGCATCAGTTTTAACTGTCTGTACTTAATAAACTGGCATTCAAGTGTGTTTTCTTATCAGGGCTACCTGTCGTATCTGCTTTAGTTTGGTCAGTCCACTCTGTAAAACAGGGGTGGGCAACTCCAGGTCTCGAGGGCCGGTGTCCTGCAGGTTTTAGATCTCACCCTGGGTCAACACACCTGAATCAAATGATGAGTTCATCACCAGGCCTCTGGAGAACTTCAAGACATGTTGTGGAGGTAATTTAGCCATTTGAATCAGCTGTGTTGGATCAAATACCCATCTAAAACCTGCAGGACGCCAGCCCTCGAGGCCTGGAGTTACCCACGCCTGATCCAAAATAATGTCTGCATGCTCATGAATAACAGAAGGCTTGTGACCACCTAGTCACCCAGATTACAAGCCACGTGTCACCATCAGACTTGTATGGTCATTTTATAACATGCGGTCAACTTTGCAGTGCTCTTCTGTTCGAGCGTAGTCTGAGAGGACTCTGATGTTTGAGCTGTTTTGAATAATTTTGCTGTTTTATTTTTGTTTTCCATGTGGTCCATGTTTCCTGTTGAGAAATGTACATTATAAAATTAATAAGGAGAGGGTTAAAAGTCCCCTGGAGAACAATCATTTGTTTGTTTTTGAAGTCGTTAATCTTTTGGGAAATCCCATGACTTAGATTTGTCCTCGCTATGGCTGCAGGAAGGAGGTGGGCCGGCCATTCAAGGGAAAGGTTAGACTGTAGGATGTGCCGTCCAGAGGGGCCGATGGCGCGATATGGCAGCCTCGCTTCTGTCATTCTGCCCCCGGACAGCTGTGGCTACAACCGTAGCTGCCTCCACCAGTGTGTGAATGAATAGTGGAATTGTAAAGTGCTTTGAGGGTCTCGAAAAGCGCTTGATCTAAAAGATTTCCCAGGAATCTTTTAGATCAAGACATGAGATTTTTAGTAGATTGAAAAGACTGTTCACTAACAAAGTCCTTGACTTCAAAAACTTAAAACAATCCAGTCTTAAAGTGTTGCTGGATTGATTTAAAAAGTAACTGATGACTGACATAATGGTACAATGAAGATGAGTAACGCCTCCATTACTTATGCTGCCTCTGTGCATGAGAAAGGACGGCTATTTTAAGCTGTTTTATATGTGGGATAGATTTGACCAATCACATGAGCCAAATTAAGCTGGTTACAGAACTCTGTTATCAATAATCGTCACTATTTCTCATTGTCTCTCTCCCTCTCTATTTCCTCCTGGCAAACAGAGACGGTTGCGTCATCTTCGGAGCATCGCAGCCAGAAACATTGTCAACAGGAATGGCTCTCCACTGCTGGACACGTACTTCACCCTCCACCTTTGTATAGGAGACCGCATTTCTAGAGGTCGGTGTTAACGTCCTCTCACACACTACTGATCATGTTTATCCTGTACAATTTTTTTTTTTTTTTTTTTTATCAAGAGGCTTTTAAATAAAGTTAAATGGGCAGTGCGCATATTTATATTTATTTTGTACTTGCAGCAAGTTGTAGTTTAGTATTTCAGGCAAATGCATTTGAAAGTGGCACTAACACTGTACCGTTCCTCTGATTTTGGAACATGCAGTCAGTGCAAAATTTGTATGTGATAGATTTGTGTAACTGGTGTCCAGCTGAGCTTCAGCAAAACATGTTCAGGGTTTAGTTCCTCCTGTTTATTGTGCATTAATCAACATTCTTTCATGTTTCTTAGATTTTTACAAGAGTGAAGTCATACGAGACTCACTGGTGAGTAAACTAACCCTCAGACGCTTCCTCTCCGCGTCCTGGGATAGGTCCAGTATGTTGTCATTTCCTGTAGCCTGCCGTTGGAGAATGTACTCATTACGAGCAGTGAAGCAGTGCTGTATTTTATGAATGCTAAGCTTGGCATTTATCTGTTCCCTTCTTGCCAGTCACACATGTAGCCAGCTCTTGTTTAACATGATTTGCTGAATAAAATATCAGGCGTGTGTCGGCATGAATAAAATTTGATCCGTGTTTCTCTTAAACAGCTTTTTCTTTTGGCCTGCATGCATCATTAAGCTGTGCAAATGACCGTGCTGTGTCGTATTACCACGTCGTTGTGTGTTTGTTTTTTTTTTAAATTTCCACTTTTATTTGTGATGCAGACACAGCTATGCACAAAACTACAGACGTAGCCAATTACAATTACTGTTTGGGCTTGCTGCCGAGCCATGAGCTGACCTAAGCTGCTTTCCAGGCGTACTCGTCAGTGCCTTCAGCAGACAGACAGTGTAATGCACTTCAGGAGTCATGACTCCTGTCGTCTCCCAGCACAACTTCCTCCTGTTTTATTTAACATCTGTGCTGGCGTTCTCGGCTATTCCATCTCCTTCCTGTCATCGCTCATATAAGGAACTGTTTCCTGTTGCTCTTCCTGTTTTCATTCCCCTCTGCTTCTAATGCTAGTTCTTATCTTCACCTGTGGATTGTACTTCTGCTTTTGGCCTTCCTCTCCTGCCTGTCCATGAAAGTTACCCAGGGAAAAAAGAGATTTTTCTGTATGATGAAGGGAAATGGTACATAGTTAAATGATGTAAATGACTCCAGTTGTGTGCCGCTGAACCAGCGGTCATGCTGTCGTTCTGAACGTTCAGGGACAGACTACAAACAGAAATGGGGATCAGACTTTAAGGTTAATGCAGAACAGGATGATTCAGTTACTCTGCAGTGGTTAAGGATCACTGTATGGATTTAAGAGGTAACATAAATTTTGCTCTCAGATTTTTATTTCAAACTCTTGAACCTATCCTCCCATTAACAACAAAAAGTCAGAAAGTAGAAAAGATTTAGGATGTGACTGCTGTTCCTTTTGAAATGTGTGTGTTTGTGGATCTTTGTTAGAATCCAACTTGGCGGAGCCTGGACTTTGGCATGCTCCCAGACCTTCTGGACACCTCAGTGTCTTGCTTTGTGGTGAGAATCTGGGGAGGGCAGAAGGAACAGTACCAGCTCCTCATCGAATGGAAGGTTAATTTGGACGGCCTCAGATACACGGGGCAGCAGGTCAGCAAACACACCCGAGAGCAACAAAGTAGCAACACAATATATAATTTTTCCTGAGGCTTTCTGTGTGGCTTTTGAAAAAGTGAATTGTTATTGCAAAAATCTAATAGTACAGTTTTGATCTTTACAAAGGATTTGTTGGATATGATCTGACACATGTGTTAAATGTTGAATAGCTGAATGTGTAATTAAATCCTTCTAAATCCTTCTATGCATGCATTTCCGTTCTGTCCATGCGGTTAACGTTACTTCATGACATATCAGTAGTTATGAGCAGGGCTGTTGCTGTGCTCTTAGCAAGTTTATGTGTAAAATGATCACTTGGACTCGGCTGCACAGTTCTGTGTATGTAATATTTTTCATCTGCTTGGAATTTATACAAGTGGATGAATCTAGTTCAAAGGTAGCAAGGCTGAGGTGATGCTCACTGCTGTGAGCGAGTGAATGTGGGGTGAGCCATATTTGGAGTTGAACATTTAACTCTGGATCTGCGTTTGAGTTTTAATTTCTAAATATTTGAACATGAAAACTAAGTAGCTCACTAAATGGAAATCTTTCTGTCAATTTAAAGGGGCCTTATATGCAGTGCTTAACAAACTGATTGTTGGTGTAAGATTTATGGCACAGCTGGCCTGAATGAACAGTTTTAGTATTTACAAAATAATTTTTTTAATGTTTCTGTCATTTAAATTGGCATTTATGAGCAAACTCTTTAATCAAAATGATATTTCTAATGCTAAAATATAGTTACTATTATTATAAAATAATTTTCAAATTTACTGTTTAAGAAAAGAAACATTTATTTATTTTTTATTAAGATGCTGAGTTA